CTTCCTTCTGTTGTAAAAGTAGAGTAAAAAGTAGAATAACAATAAGTGAATGAGTCTTATGCACTTTCAGAACAATATTTTAATCACTCATAGAGCACATCACCACCTTGAAAAATATGATGTGGTAACAATGCCAAGTACTGAAGCAGATTTTAATGCGTTCACACGTATTTTATCTTTGAAATTGGATTTTGGCTCCTAAAATATAATTATTTGCCAAGATTGCATGTGTTTGGATATTGGGTAGAGAAGATTATTGTACATAAAGATATTTAATTAAAAAAAATAAAAATACATTTCAGCCCAGAAGACAGGAAAAGAGAAGGAAGAATAAAGAATAACCTCCTGCTTTAGAGACATGCATTTCATAGAACATCACAAATTTACAGTAGTTTATTAAAGAAAACACAGTATGGAGCTGTGAAATACATTGCTCAGCTTGTACATATGTTCCGTAACTTTGTAGTTAGTGGCAGAAGTAATTCAAAACTTTGCTTGTGATATACACAGAGCTGTTCAAAGGGGATAGATATTACCTGTTTGGTCACAGTTTTTAAATTTGCCATAAATCCAACGCTATGTGCTAAAAGTGACAGTTATTCAAATAGACTTCAGATATGAAGGGGAATGATGGAATAAAAGCTAAAATAAACAGGTGCCTGGGCCCTGATTCTCATTTACACTGACATCCACTTACCCCACTTCAGCAGTTTAAAAGGGCTTTAAATTGAGAGTAAATATATAGTCCAGTATAAATGAGAATCATGCCCCAAGATCCAAGCTATTTATTAGTGCCTATGATTAGGGATCACTGGAATATGCACTAGAAGCTGGGAACTGCAGGACTAAAGGAGCTGCCGTGTAGCTCACTTTCAGCGTGAATTCCAGTGGTTCCTTTCTACAATACTGGCAGATTTAAATTAATACTTCTTCCAGAAGAAAAAATATTCAGCTAAGTATTTAAATGTATTTAAGCTTCCAGGCTGTTAAAATTATTTTAAACTGTACTTTATTTATAATTTAATAACATTCAGTAATTTCTGTAAATCAATCAACCCATTCTGTAATCTTTAAATATTTAAAAAAAGGCATAAGCAGTGACTTATAGATAATACCATTTGTGCATAGCCACAAGGAGACAGCCTCTCAGACCAGGAATCCCTTTCTCCCTCAATGCTTTTACCTTGTGATGGTTCAGGATGTTTAATGCCCAGGAGACTGAGTAGGGCTGAAGGATAAAGACAGCTTGTGTCACTCTGTTATCCAAAGGGCTCCAGAGGGAAAGTGGGTTAAATAGGGAGGTCTTCCCCTCATTATTTAGTGGTGCCATCTGAACAGTTTGCAGATGATTATTCAGGGTGGTAACAACCAAAGCTGACTGTGAACTGCAGAAGAATCTTGTAAAATTGAGTGAATGGACAAAAAAAATAGCAGATGTTGATAAATGCCAAGTGCTGCACCTGGGAAAGAAAAACCCAAGACGCACATACACAGTGATGGGCTTTACATTAGCTGTTACTACTCAAGTAAGGTATTGTGGAGTTATTGTGGAGAATTGTCTGTAAACTTCACCCCAGTGTTCAAAACGGCCAATAGGATGTTAGGAATTATTAAGAAAAGGAATGAAAACAAAATGGAAAGTGTCATTATGCCATTATATAAATCAGTGGTAAGCATATAACTTGAAAAAAGTTCATGGGTAGTTCTGGTTCCCCCCACCTCCAAAAAAACATAGTAGAATTATAAAAGGTACAGAGAAGGGAAACAAAGAGCAGGAGCATAAAGGGCTTCTGTATGAGGGGAGACAAAATAGGCTAAGACTTTTCAGCTTACAGAAAAGACAACTGCAGAGGGTGGGAGGGAGAAGACAGAGGTCTATAAAATAATAAAACATGAGGCGAGGGTACACAGAAATTTAATATTTGCTACTGTTCACAATATCAGAGCTAGGGGACATACAAGGAAAATCATTAGGAAGCGAGTCAGAAACCAACAAAAGGAAGTTCTTTTTCACACTGAAAAAGTTTCATGTTGTGGAACTCATCATCACAGGAGGTTGTGGGGCTGACAACTTAACCAAGTTCAGAAAAGAAAAATAAATTTGCGTAGGACAGGCCCATCAGTGGGTATTAAATGTTATGGTGGAAGGTCTTCCAAATTAGGTTTTTCTAGGCCTTTAAACACCGGAAGAAAGACAAGGACAGATCCATGTGGATAGACCCTGCATAATACTTTTCTCCGTAGCCTTTGCTCTGTGCTACTGAGAGATATAAAAAACGGGGCTTGTGGTTTGATTTATTGTGACATCTTTTATGTTCTTATCCTTTTTAGCCAATTCAAGAAGACTATCAATAGGTTCAAAAGGAGATCTATTCAGGCCATAGACAAAAGTGTGGTACTCAGTATGAATCTCTTGTGTATCTTTATAAAGTACTGGAAAATACACACACATTTTCTAAATGAAGACAGATTCTGGGTGCACAAATATTTCTACAAATAAAGTAGCTGCTACTGTCATACAGTATAATATATATGTGGAATAGCATATATATAGGATACACATATGCATATGTATCACTAGCACACAGTAGTGACAGAGGCAATGGAAAGGCAATAAATATTCACAGATTAATTTTGTTTTCTTTCCTGCCCCTTTTTCCAAGCAGAATGGGGAAAGAGCACGTAGCATTTGTAAGCAAGCTTTATATTACTTGCTTACAGTTAAGTAAGCTTTACATGCATTTATCTTACATAATCTTGTTATAAATCTAATTTTCTATATTTTACACCTTTATTTAATTATAACTACATGACATATTCAACTATGGACCTGTCAACAAGGACAGCACAAGTCACTGT